TGAAATTAACGCCTCGTCCTTCTCTTCAGTCGGGGCGTGGGCGCAAATTTGCGAGATGTTGAAAACTTTCACTTTGATGTGGATTGTGGCTAGACGCTTGTTCACCACTTGGGTGAACGCCAGTATTCGGCGACGGATGGCGGTTATGTCACCCTTTCTCTGCGTGAGGACATCAATTGGAAATGGGTTTCAAACCCATCGCACAACCTGTTGCCCAATACCTCTTAGAATTTTTGAAAAAAACTGAAATTTTGAGTGCATGTAAGAAAATTAGGATAGGTGGATGAAATTTTTATTAGCATTTCTATTGACTACCAGGTGTGGATACGGTAATAGTTGTGTCATACAAAATGGATTATAAAATAATTTCAAAAATGAGTCTCCACTGATTGCAACATTTCTTTTAACAAATGCCAATAAATATTTAAATATCAGAGCATGTCCTGCCACTGGATCATACACTTTGCAGCCACACATGTGCCAATGAGTCTGTATGCATATAAACCAAGACCCACTGGCTCTGCTGGCGCCATCAAGTGGCTCACTTCATTATTACCCTTACTTCGACGGTGAACGAAACGAGAAAGTGAAATAGAAGTCCTCAAAAATTACGCACCAACTAAGACGAAACATAATAAATGACTACAAGTTAACACCCACTTTTGAAATACTCATCTATGAGTACAAACAACCAAAGTAGATTTTAAATATTTTATGTTTTATAAAATCTCACTTTACACCAAATTCCTATTAAAAAATCGAGGATTTTAAGTTTTTTTGTTTTTGTTTTTTTTTTTTTGCTTTACAGCAGCTCAAATTCCAATAAATTATCGCGCGAAACACAGATGCAGAGCTACTACTTGAGTACTGTGAAACAAGCGAGCTCATCAATTGGAAATTGGAGCTACATACTTCTAATCTAGATACGATATATGTATGTACGTATGTATGTCAGGATTTAGTTCGGTGTGTGATCTGCGTTTAGGATGCCCTTAACATACATAGTTTGAGAGCACGCACAATTAGCACTCGCATTAGATACGCATTTGTATATGTAAATATGTATGTATGTATGTATGTACAGTTGTGCACAAAATAATAGGAGTGCGATATTTTAAACAGTTTTGGCTATTTGTCTTTTGTGTATTTAATGTTTATTATTTTTTTATAAAAGCCTAGCTGGCTATACAA